TGCCACTGCCAGTTCTGCCCTGGCTGCAGCACCGGGGGCATTGCCTGCCCTGACGCTGAGCCATGGTGTGGTATTTGGGGCTGAAACCCCAGGTTGCCCTGGGGCTAGGTGAGCTTGGGAGCGGTGACCACCTTGCCCAGCTCATGTTGGGACCATGCTGACTGGCATGGCTGTCTGGTGCGGTTATCTCATGAGGGTCTCTGGTGGGGCTATGTCATGAGGGTCTCCAGCAGGTCTATTTGGGGAGGATCTACAGTGGGGCTACCCAGACGGGGTCTCCAGCTGTGCACTGGGCAGGTTGTCCCCAGTTGTCCCTCCCCATGGCTGCCGGTGTCCCTGTGTACGTGGGGGTGCACCCCTGAGCCCTCACCTCAAAGGTGAAGTGCCTGGCTGTGCCCCTAGGCAGCCAGATTTGCACTTCTGAGTGCCTGCTGCCCCTGGGGGAGGTGGACCGATGGCACAGTCTTTGCTTGGCTGGGAGGTGATGAGGGAGAAATGCTGTAGGTTTAAAAACAGGTTTGGGCTGCTAATTTTAGGAAGGCAGGTCAGGGGGAAAGCCACATCTGCGTGTGCTCAGGGGGAAGGGCAGGCCCTGCTCCCACAGGATAGGGCTGGCTCTGCTCCCAGTGCCCAGTCCCAGGGTTGCCCTGGGGGAGTTTTCTCTGTGGAGGAGCAAGGGGAGGTGGTGGTGGTGGGGGGTCCTTGCTGCCTGTGCCTGCCCTGCTGGAGTCAGCCTCCCTGGGGACGTGATGCCCAGGGACCGCCAAGGTTTGGGCTGTTGCCCCAGCTCTGCCCGTGTGCCTGCACACCCCTGTGCCGATGGCAGTGCCAGGGGCTGACCAGGGATCCAAAGCTGGGGGTCACCGTGTGCCCAGCAGCAGTGCCAGGGGTAACCCCAGGGCTGGGGGCTGATGGCAGTGGGGGGACATGGCTGTTGTCCCTGCCCATTTGCCCACACTGCCCGTCTCTCTGGGAGGGCTCTGCTGCCAGCGCAGCCCCAGGGAACATGAGACCTCTGCGTGCCTGGCTCTGCTGAAACCCGAACAGCCACCTGAGCAGGCGGGCACTGATGGGGGGGCCTTGCTGCTGGCCCCCCAGCACACACCAGCGGCAGCAGGGTACCTGGCTGTGAACACGCCGGCCAGCAGCTGCAGCAGGCTTGGTGCTAAAGCCGGATTACCACCCGGAATAGTCCCGCGGCCCCAGCTGGGGCGGATTAGCCAGGATTCATCTGCAGAGGGAGAGGAGATGAGGAGGGGGTCTTTGCCCTGTGGTGGTCCCCAGCCTGGAGGAGCCCTCACCTCCTGCCAGGGAGTCCCAGCACCTTCGTCCCCCACGGGTGAGAGCAGTGGGTGCCCACAGATGGGTGCCATGGGCTGTGGGGATACAGAGGGTCGTTGCACCCTGGGCTGGTGCTGTGTGGTGCAGTCAGGGCTTGCAGGCAGCAGCTGTTGGCCCCCATGTGTGCCGTACTCCCACCAGCACGGTGTGCTGTGGCGGGGACTATGCCATGCTGAGGCTTGACCGGGGGAACCAGTGTAGTGCAAGTGCCAGGCTTTCCTGGGATGACACGCGGCGTCCTCACCGTGCTGCCAGGTGTGATGGACTCCCCTATCTGACGTGTTCCTCTGGCATTGCTGATGGAGCTCCTGGTTGTGCCTTGCTTCCAGCTGGGATTTTCCACTTTTTAAATAAAGTCTGGGTGGAAGCGAGGTGTCGGGCAGAGGGACGCAGCCCCTTCCAGGACCGCATCCCCCAGTGTGGTGCCCTGGCCCCCAAGGAAGGCTGGCAGGGGGCCAGAGCGAGCCCAGGGCTACCTGCTGCCTGCCTGCCAGGGCAGAGAATGGATTTGGGAGCCCTGCCGCCCCACACACATGTCCCCGTCCCAGCGAGGGGCGGGGGCAGACATCTGTGCTGGCTGGGATGCGGCGTGCGAGACCAAACGTAGCCTTCCCTGACGCGCAGACGTGGCCGGCGGGGAGGATATGTGACGCCCCACGCATACGGCTCAGCGTTCCCCGCGGGGGGGCTGCAGGACACCACTGGGGTCCAGCTTGGGCTGCCTGGCTGTGGTGGAGGGTTGGTGGGGTGGACGATGTCCCCGGTATCACCAAGCAGTGGGACAGCAGGAGCAGCTCCTGGGAGAGCTGGGGCTGGGTAGGGAGAGGTGGTCACAGCGGGCCTGTCGCTGTCCTTGTCACCCGGAGCCGGCAGGCAGTGGAGAGGCGCACGCTGGGAAATCAGTGCAGCTGGCTCAGCACCTCCAGGGTCACGGCCCTGGGTGCCACAGCAGGGGGGTTCTGTTCCCGTGCACGTGGCCGTGCCCACGCCATCAGGGTGGGTGAGCGGGCTCTGGGGCTGGCAGTCAGAAGGGGGACGATGCCGGGCGGCACACGGACTACCCAACGTGGCAGCGAGGACAGCAGCATCCCATCTGTGTGGTGGCAAGGCAGCCCCGCGGTGGGCCGGGGCTCTCGAGGCTGGCACACCGTGGGAAGAGATTCCCAGAGAGATGCTCTTTACCTGGAGCGGAGGTTGTGGGCACACAGGGACAGGGCTGAACCCACCACCCCTAGCCCTGGGGGTACTCACGTCACCCCACTGGGGCCATCCGCTGCTCCATGTATTTGCTGTTCTTCCCAGCCTTATCGCAAGGCAAACAGCAGCAGGCAGGGCACGCTCTGCCCGATCGAAGCATCTCCCATTCCCTCCCCTTTCATGTCCCCCCCTTCCCCAGCCGCCACCGCCGGGAGACCCTGGCCAAGGGGCAAAGGCCGGAGCCAGCTGGGGAGGTGGTGGCAAGTGGTGCCGGGGCTGTGCCAGGGCTGTGCCAGCGCTGTCCGGTGGGAGGAAGTGTCTGGGTGGCGACACTAAGCCCGGTGCATGCGAAATGAGCCTGGCCGTGCCGCTTGCTATTCCGAGAGGCGCTCAGGGGAAGAAGCTGGTATTTCCTGAGCCGCCCGGCGAGGTGTAATTATAACCTGGGAGAAGAAAAGGGCTGCAGAAGAGAGCGCCCAGCCTCCCTGGCGCCCGTGGGGGAGCGGGCAGGGGGAATGGGGCAGCTTCTGCCCATCACTGGTGGGATGCAGCGGAGCCCTGCCTGCAGGCAGCCTGGAGGTGCTAAGGGGGTTTGGGGAGGTGATGGAGCACCGGGGATCTGGCTGACCCCCTCAAGCCTGGCACCAGGAGCGGTGGGTTCAGTGATGCCCGCCTGCAGTGGTGGGAAGGTGCAGAGTTAACGGTGGCGTTTGGACGTGCTGGCAGCCTTGTTCGTGCCTGGATCTGGCCCAAGTGGAGGCCTAGTAGAGGGGATAAATCATTGCCCAGTGCCCGCCCTGTGCTTCCCTCTCTTCACCCGCATGGCTGAGCCTCCCTGCTCTGGTCTCTGCTGCCCTGCGCCCTGACTTAGTTTCCCCACCAGCCTGGATGCCGCAGATGGCGTGGCCCAGCTGTGTGCCCCCCACCCCAGGCCAACTTTAGGGCCTCAGCCCCCCTGGCACTGACGATAGCCAGCATGTGGCCGGGGATGACCCTGCCAGGTCTCCTCGGTGGCCTGGATGGGCAGGGACAGGCAGGGCAGTGGCTCAAGAGCCTAGAGGTGCTGGTTCCCACACCTCATCATGGCATCCTTCCCCTATGTGCTGGGGGGACTGCTGTCCCCAGCATCTTCCTGCCCTGGCAGTGCCTTGGGAAGACTCGCCTGGTCTCCAGGGCTACCAATCCCCTGGGAGCGCAAAGACTGGCATGCCCCTGCTCAGCCCGTGAGGACCCCAGGCACTGGGGTGATGGGGCAGCAGCATCCTCCCAGGGTCAGGGACCACGCCATACCCTGGCCAGCCCTTGCCTTGA